CAGGCTGATAGCTATTGAAGAGTCTTATGAATTAGGCATTCAACAAGAGATATACCTAGGAATAAAATAAAATACAAAATAAAATAGTTATTGAATGTTGGATAAGGGAGTAAAACTAAGATTGAGCCAGTTGGGAAGATTCCTAGACATTGGGCCTGAGGTGTATTCAGACAGTGGAGTGAGGATGACAATGACAGTCTGAAGAATTTCCTGGAATGTATGAATGTTTTTGTTGATGGCATAGACATCATTGAGGTTTTGAAGAACACATGCACAGCAGTGGCTTCTGGCCATTGTACAAGTGCCCCATTGAGAAGGCAATTATGAAGGACCACTCAGGAATCTTACAGTTCTCTGGCAATGGTATTGATGGTTTGGTAAGATTGTCCACAGTCATGGACACAGCAGCAGCTCTTGGCGTACAGGTTGCCCATACATGGGTTGCTGCAGCACATTTTTTAGATTTACGCCCAGTCTCTTAGCCAAGAGTTCTAAGGTTTATTGAGAACCTTATAAGAAAGGAAGGCCACTTCTGGGGCTTGGATTCTGCCTAAGCTTGTAGTTGTGACATGTTTTTATAGACCCTTTGGCTCATCTAGAGTCTGGAGAACTTAAATAAGAAGTAATAGACTAGTTAAGGTGAGAAAACAAGGCAGTCTAATTAAGTATAGACTGTTCGTTTTGAAAAGTATTGAGGTAGAAGGATATTTCTTTTGAAGTCTAGGGAGAAAATCTAAAGAGCCCCTGAATGATAGCACAAAAGATGCCTTTAAATCTGAGATGGCATAGGAATTTAGGAGAAACTGGAGGCTTCCAAAGAAAAAGGACCACATAACCAACAATCCAAAATAGAGTTGTGAGACTGTGCTATGAGTTAAGTGAAGAAATGCCATAAATTCTGTGGTCTTTGCAGGGATGGTGGATGTAAAAAGGGTAGAATAGCTTGGGTGAAGGGAAAGAGGAGATAATATAAATGAAGGCTCATTATGGAAAGCTTCAGTTGCAATGAGGGGAGATATGTGGATAGCAAAGATGACACTGGAGGGGATAGAGAAAAAGAAGGATACTGGAAAGAAGGAGAGTAAAAATAAGAGGATAGGAAGTATGCAAGAGGATCCTACAAGGTCTTGTTCTGGCATCTTATGAGGAAGGTGACCACTTCATGTCATCTACTTGGTCTAAAGTTCTTGAAAAAGCAGTCTACCTTGTGGCATCTGCTTCTGGGAGCTATTGAGAGACCCTCAATTTAAAGTCTCCAGTTGGGATGGACTCCAATTTAGAGTAGCTTTTAATATCTTTTCCTTTGAGAAACATCAATCCAGGTTTTTACCCCCCTGGGACTTGGCAGCAGTGTTAGTGATGTAAAGAGAGCAATGTAAGGGCTCTTTCAACAGGCCCTTTCAAGATTAGTTTCCTGATGATACTGTCTTCAGAGAACTAAGTCTCCTATTTCTAGGTTGTACAGTGGGTTGTATGGGAGAATTGAAGGAAAAGCAGCCTCAATCTGTTGAAATTAAGTTTGGGTATAATTAATAAATCCCTTGCAGTATTTTAAAATGTCTGAATTGAACAAGCTAGAATCTTCAAGAGCTCAGACAGAATAGAAAAGTCTATGGGCCAGCTAGTTATTTTTTATGGGGACAGTTGGTATGACCCAGCAGGAGAGGACCAGAAGATAATCAGGGATAAACGTAAAACCTTAGCCCACGAGAGAGCGGGTTCTTCCATCAGTTTAGCAAGCTTTAATATTTATAGTCCATTAGCCCTACCACTTCAGATGAGTGGAAGTGATAAAGACTATGTGATTTTTTTTTTAATAAAAAAAAACTCATTAGATTTCTTGGATGACCTTACTGGTGAAATGAGTCCCTCATTCATGTGAAAGAGCCCATGGAACTCTCAATATGTGGAACACTTGTCCTGATAAAAATTTAGCAATCATGGTGGTAGCAGCCCTTTTTACAAAGGAAAGTTTTAAGCCAGAGAGAGAACATGCATATGATAGTAAGAACACACTTATAACCATGAAATTTAGGAGCTAAAGAAAAGGTTCTAAACGTATTAACAAAACTCTATAGGTAAGTGAAGAAAATCCCCAATTAAAAACCACTAGCTTATACTATACTGGATTTTAAAAAGTAAAATTGTGATTTTACTTGTGATTTTTAAAATAACTGAAATTATGAATGATAAAATTATATTGTTGCTGCCTAATATAAGGCAAAGCAGCATGAGGGCTCATAAATAGAAATATATCATGGATAGTAAGGACAATGACAATTCTCTAGGAACTTTATGTAACTTTTGAAATATTTATATTAATAACATTTTACCCAAACAACCTTAATCTAAGGAAGGCTGAGTATTTTTGACAATGCTTTCCATACAATTTATATAATTTATATAATATTGAATAAATCTAATTATTTTAACACCTCTTTATACATGGTAAAAGAACAAATCCTTTGTGATTTTCCAGCTGCCCTCTGGAAAATCCCAAAATTAGTTTTAAGTGTAAAAGATAACAATTAAAATTTCATTTTGGGAAGACGATATCAAAAGTTGTCAGGATATTTGAACAACTTGGTAATACCATCTGAAGGTAGAAAAATATCACATATACAGGGTGGGACAAAAGTAGTGAATAGTTGTGAGTAAGCAAAACAGAGTTTACTCTTGTATTATTATTTATTAGTTATTGTATTATTTTCCACATTAACAGCTGTAAAACTACCTTTTCCCCACCCTGTATATAACATACATACCTGAACATGCAGACAGAAGCAAATGGCTGTTTTACAGCTTTCATTCTAAAAGTTTAGCCATGAGTCAGGCACAAACACAGAAAAAGAAATTTCCCTGGTTTACATAACAGAGTCAGCCCTTGTCCTTGCCCTACTTTATATTTTTATCAGGATTATGTTTCTAGCAAATGGGATAAGTTGAGATTACCTGTTCAGTATGAGGACTAAATTTTTTCCCACCATCTTCTTTGACCTGATGTGTAATCTTACGGGGGATGTGGAGTAAATTTAGGTTGAGGGACCAGAGATACCAAGCAGCTATCTGGGAGACTCCAAAGACATCTGAGTGGAAGAAATATCCAGTCTGGTTTGTTTGTTTTTTAGCTTTTTCAACCTCAGGTGGTTGCTTTTGTGGTCCCTGAGCTCCTCAAGAGCCCCCCAATGGAAGCAGGAGGCCTAAAGTTCTAGTAACTATAGGAAGTTGAGGGGCTAGTCTGGGAAGGGAAAGGTCTGGCAGGGATGTTGAAGGGGAAAAGATCAAAAGATTTAGGGAAGCTGAAAGGAAGATGGAAGGCACTAAAAGGAGGAAGAAAGAGTGGAAGTGATGAGAAGGGACAGGTCCTAGATGAGCCAATTTTGGGAGACCTCAAGTTCCCCAAAAAGGTCATTGAAATTCCAAATTGCCTTTGGTAAATTTTTGCTATTTATGAAGGTATTAAGTAGAGTAAGTACAGTAATGGCAAAGCATATAGCAAGCAGAGAAGAAGAGAAGGGAAGGTGCCTGATGGAGTTACCCATGGGATTAACAGATATTTAAACTGAGACTGGATATCTGAGGGAATGTAATCTCCAGGACAGAGAGCCAAGGGAACCCTCATGCACAATTTCTGTGGTGAAGAGCCAAGTGAATCTCCACATGCAATCTCCAGGGATTGGGGAGCTAAGGAAATCCCCACACCAAATTCACAGGTTTGGGGAACTAAGGAAATTCCATGCACAATCCCAGTTTAGGGGAACCAAGGAAAAACAAAAAAAAGCCTCACAGAGGGGCAAGAAAACATCTCTTTGCCAGAAGGAAAAATAATTAACTTAATCCTTTTCTCTGTCCCTCAGAGCTGTCAAAGCCAAGATCTTTATATATTTCCCATAACAGGGTATTTTTTCTTTTATTAATTTTATGGTTTCTGTTTTTTTAAATGTTTACCTTTTTGTTACATCTGAAATTTATCTGTGTATGACGTGAGTTAGGGATTCATTTTTAAATGGGAGGCTAGTGGGCAGCTTCATTATGTGGCCCCTGAAATTGATTCTTCAATTCATGAATTTTTGAACTGTCAAGGCAAAGACGTTTATGATTTTCCCTTAACAGGATTTCTTGTTTATTAATGGAAATATTGGTCTACTGAATTTCATTTGAGTACTTGTGATCCAATCTAATAGTATTCTGTATTTTTTTTAAATAGGTAACTTAAGTCCTGTTATATTTATAGATCTAACAGATCTATTTAGTCTTTTTTAAATTTTTATCAATTTTTTTTAGAGAAAGAGGAAGTGGGGGGGAAGAGAAGAGAGGGAGATGTATTTGTTGTCCCACTTATTTATGCAGTCATCGGTTAATTCTTGTATGTGTCCTGACCGGGAACTGAACCCACGACCTTGGCATATCAGGACGATGCTCTAACCAACTAGGCTACCCAGCCAGGGCAGATCTCACACCACACACAAAGATAAATTCCAGATGTTACAAAAAGGTAAATGTTTAAAAAACTAGAAACCATTTAGATATAACTTATTAATTCTATTATTGAATTATTCTCTAACCTTTTTTGTTTGTCCAATTGATGTTATAGGTCAGTAAAGTCTCCTAATTTTAACATATTTTGAATATTTATCTTATTTCTTGTATTTGTTTTGTTGTTTTATTATAAATGGTGGAAGAAATGAAGAAAGATGGCTGATATCTTTCAAATAATGCACCATGCCCAAATAAGTTCACAGGAGAATTCTACAAAAACTTTAATGACCAAATAACATCAAAGCAGTGCTAATTGTTCCATACATGTTTATTATGTGAAGGGAGCTGAGATACTTTGAAGGTGATCAAATCCATTCCATATTTACAGTGTTGTAAACACTCCAGATTATTCTGTGGAAGGGTAATCAGAGATACTTAGGAGTATATGAGTCTATTCTACGGTTAAGGAGATGCCACATTTTTTTTTCCATGTCCAGCATATCCATAAGATTTCTGTTCAGTGTGAGTTTTCCCATGCACAACAAGGTCCGACTTCCAGGAAAAGACCTTCCCACAATCAGTACATATATAAGGTTTATCTCCTATATGGATTCTGATGTCCAGTGAGGTGTATATGCTGACAGAAAACCTTCCCGCATTCACTGCATTTGGAGAGGTTTTCCCCATGTATATTCTCTAATATGTGATCATCTGTGATTGCTGGGAAAAGGTCATCCCATATTAAGCAGATTCAGAAAGTTCCTCTCTACTATGAGTAATCTGATGAATAACTAGTGGAGACCTCTCACAGAAAGCCTTTCCACATTCACTACATTCATATGGTTTCTTTCCAGTATGAGCTTTTCAATGTATAATGAGTTGTGACTTCAGGGGAAAAAGGCCCTTACGCACTCAGTACACTCATAAGGTTTCTCCCCACTATGAGTTGTCTGGTATATAAAAATGTGAGATTTTGCCCTGGGTAGTGTTGCTAAGTGGTTAAAGCATTGGCCTGAGCACAAAAGGGTCATGGGTTTGATTCCCAGTCAAAGTCACATACGTGGGTTGTAGATTTGATCCCCGGCCCTAGTTAGGGTGCTTTTAAGAGGCAACCGATCCATGTGTCTCTTTCACATCAATGTTTTTTCTTTCTCTCTCCTTCTCTCTCCCTTTCCTGACCCCTTCCACTTTCTCTAAAAATCAGTAGAGCCCAGCCGGGCGTGGCTCAGCGGTTGAGCATCGACCTAGGATCCAGGCGATCGAGGTTCGATTCCCAGTCAGGGCATATGCCCGGGTTGCGGCTGCACCTGATCAATGACTCTCTCATCATTGATGTTTCTAACTCTCTCTCTCCCCCTCCTTTCCTCTCTTTGAAATCAATAAAAAAAAAAATCAGTAGAAAAAATATGCTCGGGTGAGGATTAACAAAAAAAGAAAGAAAGGGGAAAAAAAGTGAGACTTTTCACAGAAGGCTTTCCAACATTCACTACATTAAAAGGGCTTCTCTCTGGTATGAACTCACTAATGTATAATAAGATGTGACTTCTAGAGAAAGCTTTTAGACAGTCAAAATATTCATAGGGTTTTTCTCCAGTGTGGAATCCCTGATGAACAATAAAGAGTGACTTCTGGGAGAAGGCCTTCCCACACTCAGTACATTCATAGGGTGTCTCCCCAGTATGAATCCTCTGAGGCACAATGAGTGGTGATTTCCCACTAAAGGCTTTTCCGCAATCTCCACATACATATGGTTTCTCTCCAGTACGAATTCTTTGATGTATAATGAGCTGTGATTTCTTTAAAAAGCCTCTCCCACTCATGCTATAAGCATTGGGTTCTCCCCAGTGTTAACTTTCTTATACTAAATGTGAGCTTGCTTATGATTGAGAACTTTTTCACATTGACTATGTCCATGTGAATTAATTCTAGTGTGAATTTTTTCAGGCACAGAACAGGAAGCACTAAAGCTAGGTGGTCTCCCACATCCAAATCTCTCTATGGGATTCTTTCTTGCATAGCTCCTATTACAAGTGAGTAAGTCTAAATTGGATTTCAAGCTCTTTTCACATGAATCAAAATTATGGAGTTTTTGTTTGTTTGTTTTTGTTTTGTTAATCCTCACCTGAGGATATTTTTCTATTGCTTTTAGATAGAGTGGAGGGGAGGAAGGGGGGAGAGAGAGAGAGAGAGACATCTAAGTAAGAGAGACACATCAATTGGTTGCCTCCTGCACAAGCCCTGACCGGGGCTGAGGATCAAACCTGCAACCGAGTATCAAACTTGCAACCCAGGTACATGCCCTTGACTGGGAGTTAAACCCAAGACCCATGGGTGCAAGGGCCAATGCTCTAACCACTGAGTCACACCTTCCAGGGCAAAATCACGGAGTTTTTTACCTGAAGAAGCAAGATCAATGCATCCACTGAATATTTTTCCAAATGTATTACATTTAGGGCTTCTATTCTTGGTCACTGCTTTATGGCTGATGACTGGCCTGCCTCAAAATTCTGTCTTGGTTTCCTAGGTATCTATCTATATGCCCATCATTATGCTGGACTTGTAAGACAGGATAAAATGAATTGTCCTTTGGGGCTATTTTAAATATTTCCCTTTGAAATGAAAGTTTTCCAGAAATGATCGTTTGGTAAGAGTCAAAATTTTTCTCCCTGACTAAAGAAGAAAAAGGTAAAATCAAATAAATAAAAAGAAACCCCAATGGAAAGAAGTGCTAGGAAGGTGGCTTATGTAGGATGAATGTTATAAAGGAATTCTGATTAATTTTAAGGAAGAAAGAGGGGCATGGATGTCAGGGGGGAAAAGAGCCCTTTCAGCTATCTACCCAATTCCTACTTACCTGAGTAGATCCACCTTGACAACTCACTGTCCATGATACACAGGTCTGCTTCATGCTCCAACCTGAAGATTATATCTGGTTTTATACCTGAACATCCTGTTAAGGGAAAATAATAATGACTTTGGCCTTGGCAGCTCAGAAACTCATGACGAGAAGAAGCAGTTTCAAGGGTCTCCAACTAAAATGGGAGACTTTAACTACAAAAACAAACTCCAGATTAACAAAAATATAAATATAAAAAACTGAAACTATAAAACATCTTGTTAATGGAAAATCATAAAGGCCATGGTCTTGACATTTCCGAAGGATGAGGAGGATTTGACTTATCATTACACAGAGAATTTGCCCTTACCCACAGAGACCAGGTGACTATATATCTCCAGAATCACATCCCTGTGCAGGATATTCTGAGCAGCATCCAGCTGCTGCCTCTCTTCCTGGGTGAAGTCCACAGCCACATCTTCAAATGTCACTGATTCCTATAACAGCATATTCTTGTATAATCTGCTCATTTTGGTCATTTTGACCACAAAACTGCATGTAGGATGCCTATTTGTACTTCATGTAGCATACTTAATGAGGGGGGGAAAACGATGTAAAATCCTGACATTAGCAAGAATAGTTAATGGAACCTAATAGAGAGTCTAAAAATAGATGCAAATAAAAATGGGAAATTCAATACATAAAAAAGGTAGTAATTTAAACACGTGAAGAAAAGACAGAATACTCAAAACTGAGTAGCTATAAAAAAGTGAAGTTGGATTATTTATTCATACTATATACAAAAATAAATTTTAGATATACAAAAACATAAACAAAAGAGAAGTCATAAAATAAAGACAGGAGATATTTTTTAAAGTAATTTGAGAGTAGAGAAGACTCATTTAGCTAAGCATGTACAAAACCCAGATGCCACATAGAAAAACACTGATAATCTTGATGACTTTATGTATTAAGTGGCAAAATATACCATAAACAAACTCAAAAGACTAGCAACTAACTGAGAAGATAAGTGCACAACACATATGATGGACAAAGAGATAATTTTCTCAATATATATAGAGAGCTCCTACAAAGCAAGAAGAAAAAGACCAATAACTTAAGTTTTAAAAAATAATCAGCCCTAGCTGGTTTAGCTCAGTGGTTAGAGCATCAATCTGCTGACTGAAGGGTCTTAGGTTCCATTCTGGTCAAGGGCACATACCTCAGTTGCAGACTCGATCCCCAGCCCCAGGTGGGGCTTGTGCAGGAGGCAAACAATCAATGTGTCTCTCTCATCTCTCTCCCTCTCCCTCTCTCTCTCTCTCTCTCTCTCTCTCTCTCTCTCTCTCTCCCCTTTCCACTCTCTCTGAAAAGCAATGGAAAAAATATCCTCAGGTGAGGATTAAAAATAATAATAAAAGAACTTTTTTAATACTCACAGGACGTGATCATCAATTCACAGAAAAGAAAATAGAGATGGATTCTAAACATGTAAAATGATGCTCAACTTCATTCACATGAAGAAAATGCAAGTTAAAACAAGAGATCATGCCCTACTGGGCGTAGCTCAGAGGTCGAGCATCAATCTGTGATCCAGGCGATCGACGTTTGATTCCCAGTCAGGGCACATGCCCAGGTTGTGGGCTCGATCCCCAGTAGGGGGGGTGCAGGAGGCAGCCAAACAATGACTCTCATCATTGATGTTTCTCTCTCTATCTCTACCTCTCCCTTCTTCTCTCTAATTAATAAAGATACATTTAAAAAACAAAAACAAAACAAAACAAAAAAAAAACATCATGTTACCTTTACATATTATCAAAGAGTGGAGTTTGATAAGTCACTGAGTTGGTGAAAATATCAAGAAACAAGCACTCAAATTGTGGGTATACAGTGGTATAATATATTATAAGGGCAATTAATTTGGTTATTTCCATCAACATTTTAATCCTCATCCGAGGATATTTTTTCCATTGTTTTTCAGAGAGAGTGGGAGGGGAGAGAAAGAGAGAGAGGGAGGGAGAAACATCAATGTGATAGGGCCACATCAATTTGTCCCCTCCTCCATGTGCCCTGACAGGAGCCAGGGATCAAGTCTGCAACTGAAGTATATGCCCTGGGCCAGAATCAAACCCGTGAGCCTTCAATCTGGTGGCTGACACTCTAACCACTGAGCAAAACCAGCTAGGGCTACATCAAAATTTTAAATGTGTGTATCCTCTGACTAGTAAATCCATTTCTAGAAATTATTCTACATAAATATTCATATACATGAGCAAAACAACACATGTGAAGATACTGCACTACAATACTGTTTATAATAGCAAAAGAATGAAAACAAACTCATGGGGGATTGGATGAATCAATTATGCTTCAATCCACATAAGAGAATATCATATGCAACTATAAAAAAGCAACAAGAAAGCTCTACGTAGATTGATATGCAACAATTTCTCGGATATGTTGTTAACTGAAAGAAGCATTAACCCATTCAACAAGCAGTTATTGAACACCTGCTGAATACTAGGCCCTGTTGTAGGAACTTGGGATACAACAGGGGAAAAAAAGGGCAAAGATACCTTTTCTCAAAGATCTTATATCCTAGAGAGGAGAGACATATAGGGTTGAGAGACAAATCATCTAGCCAAAATTTTTTTTTAAGTCTGTAATGTGCACTTCAAAATTCATATCACTCATATACATAAAGCTCCTAGAAATAAATAAGCAAAAGACAAAGAAAGGGGGATTTACAGAGAAATAAAAATGGCAAATAAATATATGAAAAGATGCTGGTCATTTAATCACTAAAGAAAAGCAAATGAAAATAAGATATAATGCTCAAGTATAAAAATAGCAAGAATGAAAAGCTGATGCTCTCTGGTAGTGAGGAAATATTGGAAAATGGCCCTCTTTGTGAATGATTTGTAACCACATGTGGAAGCTAGTTACACAATATCAAAATACAGTTTGAGAAATATCCTTTAAATTATAAATTATATGTGCTCTCTGACCTAGCACATGTCTAAGAATTAGGCCTACATAGATATTTGACAAATATACAAAGTATTTATAAGGTTGTTTCCTTACTTGTGACTTCACTGCTTTAGAGTTTTGACTAGACTATATACCACCTATGCCTCAGTTTCTTTCTTTTCTTTTTTTAAAATTTATCTTTATTGTTGAAAGTACTACAGGTGTCCCATTTTTCCCCTCAATTGACCCCTTCCACCTCACTCCCATCCCCTCCTCACCCTTCACCCTATTATTGTCTGTGTCCATGGGTTATGCATATATGCATATAACTTTGGTTAATCTCTTCCCACCCTCCACCCACCTTCCTTCTTCCCTCTGAAATATAATTGTCTGTTGCATGCGTCAATGTCTCTGGATCTATTTTGTTTGTCAGGTATTTTTGTTCATTAGCTTCTTCTTAAAGAAGACCCTTCAACATTTCCTGTAGTGCTGGTCTGGTGGTGATGAACTCCTTTAGCTTTTCCTTGTCTGACAAGCTCTTTATCTGACCTTCAGTTCTAAACGATAGCTTTGCTGGGTAATCTTGGTTGTATGTTCTTGTTTTTCATTACTTTGAATATTTCATGCCACCTGCTTCTGGCCTGCAAGGTTTCTGTTGAGAAATCAGCTGACAGTTGTATGGGTGCTTCCTTGTAAGTAACTAACTGCTNTATGGGTGCTCCCTTGTAGGTAACTAATTGCTTTTCTCTTGCTGCTTTTAAGATTCTCTGTTTGTCTTTAACCTTTGGCATTTTAATTATGATGTGTCTTGTTGTAGGCCTCTTTGGATTCCTCTTTTTTGGGACCCTCTGTGCTTCCTGGACTTGTAAGTCTATTTCTTTCCCCAGGTAGGGGAAGTTTTCTGTCATTATGTTTTCAAATAGGTTTTCAATTTCTTGCTTTTTCTTCTCCTTCTGGCACCCCATGATACAAATGTTGGGCCCCCTGAAGTTGTCCCAAACACTCCTTACACTA